GAAGGAAGGAAGGAAGGAAGGAAGGAAGGAAGGAAGGAAGGAAGGAAAGCAAGCAGGCAGGCAGATGGACAGACAAAAAACAATTCATTCAATCAACCTTGCCCAGATGTAGATAGAAGTCAAAGCTAACCGATGACAACATATTTTGAAATAGATAGTTATTACATTACCTCTGCTCAAAGTAAACAAGGCAACGAGGCTGGTGTGTAACCTGTCATTTGGCTGTAGGAAAATATCTTCCTTGTGTGGCTCACTAATATTTTCTTTTATTCCCACAACTCCATCACAAAGCAGGGCCTTGTCTTCTTTTTATAAGAATTATTGTGATTGTTTAACTGGCTTTCTGGTTTTATTTTTGCACAAATTCATTTTTTTTACCATCATTCCAAACCCATGAGACAATATTAACAAGCTATTAATGTTATGCTTCGAGATATGCTACTTGCGGCCATGACCTTGGGTAAATAGAATTATTGCTTAAAAGTGACCGGTAAGTATTTAGATGAATACTTGAACTATAAGATATTGAGGTGTTGGAATAAATCTAGGGACTTTAATAGAGTAAGCTCTCACATGGATAAGATGTGAGTGAGGGTTTTCTAATGTCAAACATTCACAATCATATACAGTTTGAAGAAATATTCCAGTTGAACATTGTGAACTCATTGACTTGCCCAACTAAAAAGGCCATTAAAATGCTTGAGTAAATAATAAACTGGTGTAGAACTCACCTCAGCTCAAGACTACAGTGCCTCTCTGTAGGTGACTGAATTTAGTCAATTTCATACAGTACTCACAGATGCTATGACACAGATACACACACGTGCACACATGCAAGGACATCCTCATGGACTCTGATGTCTATGTATTTTGTCTAAAGTTCCTATTTCTATTTCATACAAATTAAAAAATAATGAGGATCTGTAAGACCTATATAAGATGAGATCTTGAGATAAAATTTGGCAAAACGAGGAGCCTACCTTGATTATGGATTTTGGAAGTAGAAAAAAACTGGTAAAAATGCTTGTGGGATATTTGAACGAGATCACAGGACCTAAGGCAAAATTCATTTTGATTCTTTGTGCCAGTTCTGGCATGGTGGAGAAGGCCACAAACCCTGAGAGAATAGGAGACAAGACAATCTCATCAAAATTCCATATACAGATGCAAAATTGTAATCAATGGGAGTGAGTGGGTTTCTGCATCAATGTACTTCAGCTTCCTCCTGCAGCGATCGAGGGGATGGATTGGACAGGTTCTCTGAGTTGTTCTGCCAAGATCATCTGACTTATGTTCTAGCGAGTCACAAGTCTACAGTTTTCTCTAATACTATTGCTAGACAACTTAACTCATTTAGCGGAAATGGTAGTAGCTGATGGATGGGCAATGAATGATCTGGTAAAGCAGCTACTGCCTGGTGAACTATAGAAACCTTATTTCCTGAGCACGCAAGCATGCCGGTCACCCACAATTCTAAGATGCTTGGTGAGTCATGAGGCTTCTAGAAGTAAACAGTCAGTTCACAAGACACAAACAGAGCAGTTCTTTCTACAGCTGTTTGCAAGTATTCAGCAAGTCTTTTTTTTTTTTTGTGTGCATCGTAGAGTAATATTTCACTGTTATTGTCCTTGGTGCCTTCCTGCATGTTCAAACCACACTGTTTCCAGCTTCCCAAAGTGAAAACGTTTTCCTTGGATCCACAGTGATACCAGAAAGGCTTAGGTGTCTCCATTTTCTCTCCTTTTTCTTTCAGCAGTGCCATGGTGCCCATTTATATTCTTCAGGATAAGGGTAGGGATCAGAATTGCACCTGAGGAAGCTATGGTCAATATCTAGGGGGTTTACCTTCCTAAGATGCATTGTTCTGTCTCTGCTGGAGACAGACACACAAATACTCATGGAAATACGTACTGAACTGTTAACACTGGATCATGGAAATTAGCTGAGCAACTGACTCCATCAGGTAGACAACTCGTGTTAAGAGGATGTTTAGAAATGTGTGTGAATGAGTTCTTTGGTTGTCACAATGACAGTGCACTTTATGGACATGTACATGCTAGAGTCAGGGATAGTCAACAACCTCCAAACAATGGATCCTTCCCCCATTTCAAAAGGTTTCTGGATCAAATGCAAGAAGTCTTTAACTAAAATGTCCAAGCCCAAATGTAACAGGTTGTTACAGGGTATGATGGTCTCATTTACTGTATTTCCTTTGAGGATCAGTGAGAATGTAAGTCTTGCTCGCTTTCCCAGATGCAAGTCTCATCTTTCTCCATTTATATTGTCTCCCCAGTGTCTCTGCGTCCCATGGGTGGGGTCTAACTAACCTGCTCTGACTCTATGTTCTGCATGTGTGGAGTTGTTTGGGAGATCAAGGGAGGAGAAGAACTGAACAAAAATCCCTAAACATGGCAAATGTTCAGGAAGTACTGGATATGATGTAATTACAATGTAATTGTCCAGCTTCCTTTGGTTCTCTTATTGGTATGTCAATAATCTTTTTATTTATGTTCTCACCTGCTCACTTCCTCTCCCAGGCTTGTAAAATGCCTATAAGCATAAAGAATGAGTCAGCATCTCTTTTTTGGTAATGGCAATAATGGATATACTTAAGCAATATGGAAATATTGTAAGATTCATTTTTTTTCTTGCTGTTTTACCCAACCCAAAAATGTTACAATGTTGCATGGCTGAGTCTCCTAAAGACACTTCAGTGGAAGATGAGTAACAAATTAAAAACTCTGTCTTTATTTATTTTATTTAAACGTTTATTGGGAATAAGAGCTTTGATTTCTTTTCAAAATCAGTGGAAAGTTTGGGGTAGGTGTATGACTCAGTTACCACTGAGCCCTTGGCTGGAATGTCTGAGTCACTGGGATCTAGGCCCAGTGTTACAGATAAAAACCAAAAACAAAAACAAAAAAACAATCAAATGTCTAGGAAATCATAGTATCTATGCAGAAAATAGAGAACAAGTTAAACTATTTTCATTTTTGTTTATCTAAAAGCTACTTTGTAAATATTAAATCAGGTCATAAGGCTGAGCAAGTTTTGGTGTTTCAACTCACAAAGAAATGTGACCAATAGTTTCCATTTGCTCAGTTTCCATTTGAGCCTCTCCCTTTTAATGTATTTAAATTGCACCTGGGTTGTGAGGCAGGTGTGACTGACAGGGATTCTTATCTTTTTCTGATTTGTCCTCTTGCCTTAGACTTTGTCCTCTCAGCTTAAAAGGGCACCTGGAAACCTTATGTTTAGAGTTATCTGACTGAGCTTTGGACATAAACTATTTCTGGAAACTTATGTCACCATGACATGTGTGTGACTGTGACCTAAAAGGAGGGTTGAGTTGGCCCTTCATACTCTTAGCCCCTGGACTATAGGTTTCAATATACACAGAATAGGAAGCTCTTTCTCAACACAGGACAGAGAATGAGGGGCATTCATTATAAATAGCATGTAATTACTTCGATCCAGTTTAAAGGTCTGTTAACATTAACCCTTGTAAACATACCTATTGTAGTGCCCAGTGAATGTCCAATGAAGTACAACTTCTCCTGACCTGTTTTATTCACAATGAAATCTATTATTCCAGGAAGGTCGTATTTGGCCATTTCATCAAAGCTGCAAAATGAAACAATATATAAATACATACAATATACTTTTAAAACTCAGGCACTTCCTTGGTTTCTTTTTCACATAGAAACTCTGAGCCATTTGCTTATTTGTTGTGTATAACATTATACACCCAGTTACATGTAGACAATTGCAACTTTGTATGCATTTATTCTGTTTACTTTCTGACAGCAGGAAAGGCTGCAGGACTAAGCATATTCTCTCAGGTAGGCCTTCTCCCTCCTCACATTACTCTCTGTGTCCTTTTCTTGTTATACTTCTCTTTTTTGCTACAGAATCCCCTATGGTATTGATGACTGTTATTCAATACCCATCCCTGTTGTCATTTATGATTCTGTCACTTGCTAGCTAAGTAACAGAGAAGTTGCTTAAATGTCCACTGAGAAATTAACTGTGATGTGGCTTAGATTGTGTGGAAGAGATGACTTAATTGTTAGTAGGTACTTAAACTGATATTCTCAGAGTGTGTGTGTGTGTGTGTGTGTGTGTGTGTGTGTTCAGTATCCTATAATACCAATATCAAAATCCTACGTTCACTCAGCATCCCTAGAGGAGAATAAAAAGGACCATATTACATTCAGTAGGATCAAGTAGCCCATGAACTTGCAAAATTCACACAGGAGGCATTCAATAAATTAATCCAACAAAATGTGAGAGAATTGTGTGGTACCTCACAGGGAATAGAACCAAGCATTTTGCCAATGATTAGAGATACAGAATGCTTCCATAAATTGCTCCCCTTCTCCAAAACTGGAACACTGACTATGTGTTCCTTTCCTTTTCTCTGCCAGCCCTATTGAGGGAGTGATGACTATTTTCTTTAATTTATTTTTAAATCATATAGTAATTTTTACTTATTCACACAGGGGTTATAAACACAATAAGGCAGGATGTGGGAAAGGGGATGGCACCAGAGCGTGAGTGTTCAGGCGGGTACAGATATCTTTCAGAGCAGGGTATTGGCTGGGTGAAGGTTCAGGGGACAGGTCACTATGACTCTACCTATGATTCATTTGTCCTTATCTAAGTTGGTACTATCTGCCAAGGCTACCTATTTACAAGGTCTATGACTAATCAGGCTGGTAAATTTCCACAAAAGCTGCCTGTTTACAATAGCTTATAGTTATCTGTTTCAGTGTTTATCCACTAAGTCCCAAGACTTGGTGTTAGTATACATGTATGACAGCCCTATTGCTGATTTTAGGCTTATGGCCGATTTTAGGCCTTCAGTGTATAAGCAGGGCTGCCCCTGACATTTCCTCACTTCTCTAAGTATAGAAGGGCTGTGGCGATTCTAATCTTGCGAAGGCGGGGATAGAGGCCTGACCTCCAGTAATTGAAGGAGACCTTGTAATGGCTCCGATCCCCCTGTCGTTGTCCAGTGAGGCATGAGGGCCATACCCCTCCCAATGTCTTTTTGCTGTAGAGGGGATACTTTTGACGTCAACCCCTATGCAGTCAGGCTTGTCCCTATTGGTACAAAAATGATGTGATCTCTGTCCTAAGAGCAGGACGCAAGTCAACTTGGTACTTAGGTCCTTTGGAAGAGAAGTCTATGAGGGACCAGCCTGCCCTCTTAGTGACAGTAGAAAACAATTTTACCAAAATAAGTTGTCAAAATACCAAAAGACAATCTTATTTACTGGTCATTAACATTTTAAAAACATCCTATTAGAGTTTTTCTTAAAAGGTTATGCTATATAATCTTTCTTTCTTCCCTTCTGTGAGTCTCTTTTATTCTTGTGGCTATCTATTTATTTGTTATTTGATGTTCAGTCATGTCATTTTTAACAAGGACCTAACTATGGCTGGTCTGGAATTAACAATGTAACCCAGGCTAGCCTCTAACACATGGAAATCCTCCTCCTTCCCCAGTACTGACATTAAAAGTGTGAGCTACTACACCTGCCAATATGAAATATAATCTCAGTTACAATTTTGTAAAATAAATATAACATGCACACCATTTTTCCAAAATGGATTGTCTAAGAGAAAAGATTTGAAAAAGATACCAGCAGAATTACTTTTTCTTATTGCTTTCTACTTCAGGAAATATTAGAAACCATAGTGATTTTATGACCTGAAATATGCATTAGCCACAAGTTTATATTTAAAGAAACCCCCTCCAATTTTCCAGAAACTTTACTTAGATGCAATTTACCTAAAAGCCCAGAATTTCTCTTCATTTACGGAGAGAGTTTTGTGTCTTCTTGACCAAGTGTTCCCCCGACTGTTTCCCATCCACACATCATAACCTGCATCTGCTAGAAGGAACCCGAGGCTTCCATTGGCGAAATTCTCAAGCCAGTAGGCATTGTCTGCAAACAAAGCATGCTGCATATATACAACCGGGCGGGGACCTGGGTGTGAAGGGAGAAAGCCAGAGAAATTTACATTCAGAAACATTATAAAGACACACACACACACACACACAGCACAGTCTTTTCCTCTTGTTATTAGTATATTAGTGTAGAGTATTGTATTTATATCCTGTCACTAGTATATTAGTGTGTTGTATTTATATCATCCCTGCCAGAGGATGTACGATATCATGGTGTTGATCTATTGGTGCATGAATCAGCTTCTTGACTTCTTAGGTAAATTTTAAATAGCTTCTATTTTGAGGAACATTTTACAGATCTTCTGCAAACCGAGCTTTAAATAATTAAGTAACTTTTCTAAATGGTCTCCTTTGTAATAAGTTTCAGAACAGAAACTTAAGCCTGATTGTGTCACAAGTCCAAGCCCACACCTGTGACTGTTCTCCCGTATGTATGAATTTATAGGTATCACTTCATGATGGCTTGATTTGCAGTTTTTTAGTCGTACCATAGGTACAAATCAATATGTGTCCAATATAAACCATACTTTGATTGTGGTTGTAATGTTTTCCCAGGCTAGCCAGAGCGATATGATACTTTTTCGAGATGCCACACAGACTTCCCCTCCTAGACAGCCATGAGATCACAAGCACACAATGCTACAGTATATTGTGGCTTTGAACTATAATTAATTAGGTATATTAAACAATTTTTTTCTCCTGATATTTTCACTTTATATTGGATTTATTAGTGCATTATCCCATTCTTTGTTGATTAGCATCTGCATGCATGTCTTGGAAGAGGCTTACAACAATGCAAAATTTTTGATGTTTAATGCAGTTCTTTATTAGTTTTAAGGAGAAAGAGGAGCTACATGTAAGTAGGCACAGATTAGGTCCTTGCTGGATTTTCATCCTGTTCTTCAGCTTGTGCTCACAGAGCAGGGGACATTTGCAAATTCTGAAAGCAGAGTAAACTCTGGCCATCCTTCCACTCAGCCCCAAGTTTCTGAGGGACAGACTACTCAGTGGAATGGGAGGAAGCCAGGTTGTCGATTAAAACACAACAAAATAACAACAACGGCAAAACTAGCACTGTAATTTAATGACTAAAAGTGCAGTCAGGCTGGTCAGACTGCCCACATTTAAATTCTGTTCTTGTCACCTGTTATTTAAGTGACTCTGTGTCTGTTTCAGAAGCTGTCTGGTCTTGTTGTCTTTAAATGGTTATAGTTAGTGTTGCTGAGAACTTTAAATGATTAAAAATGTGCAGAGTGACACAGCTAATAAATGGTTTTGAACTTAATAGCTTTCCAAATTGTTCTCTCTTTAAAATTATTCCTATAAAATTCTTCTCCCCATAGCTTTTTAATCCCTCAAGTTTGTTGTCTGATTTAATAAAGACAAAACTAAAATCAATCAATCAATCAATCAATCAATCAAACAAACAAAACAAACAAAACAAGCAAGATCCAAGATGTTCTTCTAATTTGAAATGAAGGTGACAGTGCATTATTTTTAATATAACCATCTCCTAAAATAGATATTCCATTATTCCATTACGATAAGATCCAAGATGTTCTTATAATTTGAAATGAAGGTGACAGTGCATTATTTTTAATATAACCGTCTCCTAAAATAGATATTCCATTATTCCATTACGATGTGTCTATTGGTTACTTGACATTTAAATCTAACATGAAAAGCTATATTTTGTCCATATAGCACTCTGAGTTTTCATTTGGGAGCTCTTGAGTCAATTATTTCTTTTTTAGAGGAGCAGAATGTAGCACACTGTGATTCTGGTGGTTTGGACTACCCCTGAATACGTATGGTAGGAAAGAGGCTACAGGACCAACCTGGTAAACAGGGACCAATAAACAGGGTACCCATGATCCTTTGCAAAGCTTTTGTTTACACTTATTTCATCCTTAGCATAGGCTGGGTGCAGTTAGCTTTCCCCTTTAGAGTGTAGCTTTCATGCTTTTGCATGTTTGGTTCCTCTTTCTAGGATCTGGATCTTTTCAACACCACACCACACTCTTTCATTTCACAAACTCCTTTTGATGATGGATGCCTGAAATACCTTGTCATCCAACTGACAAGGTATTGTCAAGGTATTGGTAAGAGAAGAGACCCAGTGTTTCTAGAGGAATCAGAGGAGGAACCTTTGGGTATTCCATGGAAGTCAACTTCATTCCAGCTAGCAAGCCTCCTTCTAATAGTGAAGAGACTTTTTTCCAAAAAGCCAGTAATGAGTTGATAAAAGTAGATTCCACTTTGGCATTCACATATAGGAATCAAGCATGGTTTTCCCCAGAAAGGTCTGTTTTGTTCTTTGAGTCTTTAGAAAAGTGGAGGGAAAAGAATGAGCTTCCTCATTAGCCATTGATATAGTAACTTAAACTGAATTAGACAACCCTGTCTCTCTCCTGGTAAATAGCTAGCACTAAATTTCAGTCATGTACCTTTCTCCCCAAAAGATATATCTCCTGTACCTGTCTGCCCAGTCTTCGCTCTCCCATAGGGAATCCTGTTGATGCCAAGAATGTATCCATCTGCAGTGGTGACATCATACTCTTCACTGGGGTAGCCATTGTACAAGATTATTTCACTCTGTAGTAGACATAGAGTTATTTGTAACTCCTCTACTCAGGAAACACCATACAAAACTAGACAAAGTGATGAACAAGTTAATGGGGGTAGATGATATGAAATCTATAGCTGTAGGTAGTTATAAGATTAAATTTATTATGTAAGTCATTATATAAAAATAAACAAATACTGGAAAGTATCTACTAAAATATTGGGGGTGGGTATTTAGCATTGATTTTTCTGACAAGGTTATATTTCCTTGCTACTTGCTTTTTGACTCTCCTCTAGGCTTTAGAGATGGTAAAATTCCATGCTCATAGAATTCTGGCATGAAATATCCAAATGGCTTTCAAAGCATGAATTTAAAAGGGATATAGATAGATAGATAGATAGATAGATAGATAGAGATATGACATAATACATTCTGCCTTTTATGGCTATAAAGAAACAGTCATTTAGTCAAAGGAGCTGATTTACCAGCTTGACACATAAAAATGTTGCAAATTGTTTCTCTTAGCCAAGAGTTTTGCCACAGGAGAGCTGGACCTTTGAGAATCTTACCACCCACTAATCCATTTTTCTTCAAAGTAGTTTGTAGGAGACTTACAGCATTCATCCACACTTCGGGATTCACTTTATTTTCAAAATCCAAGAATCCACCAGTGCTTAAAGTTCCACGTATCAAACAAGCTGTTATTAAAAATAGCCACATCACAGGCATGCCTGGCACAAGACATTTAATGTTCATGGGTTAATCTTCTTCATCTATTTAGAATTAAAATAGGAAGGGCGGAGTGACAGCAGGGAAGGCTGGTGCTTTACGGAAGAACCAAATACAGGTGAAGTTACTTGGACTCTCATCTACTGCAGTGAACGTGGCCCTTTCACGGTGTATTTTGCTTAAGTTTTTTTGATGACTTTGTCTTTGTTCAGCTGCTAATTTAGAAGACAAGTTTTGACATCAAGGCAAATTAAACAGTGCAGTCGTCTGTGTCCCTGCCTTTCAGCCCAGAGAGCAAAGCAGAGACAATGAACAGATGGAGTTTTCCCGAACTCATCCCATTTGCCGTCAGTTTCTAGGGATGTGACACTTCCCCAAACATTTCCCAAAGTTCTGCCTTGCACGTTTCCACATGCAGCCGTATTCCACTACCAAGGTTTCAAAGATCACATCTTCAAAGACAGGCCACCACCCACCACCGTCTGAGCAATCAGACGGCTGCTGCTAATGTCAGCCAGCCCGTACATTTCCACCTCTCCACACACACGCTGCTTCCTGACTGTGGCTAAGGATGCTAACCGCTTTGTGTCTTAGTTCTTTGTTAGTAGCAATAAGATAATAACATCATGACTTTCCTCACAGTGTGACCTTGAGAATGAGAGGACACAACAGACACAGTACAGTGCTACAGTGTAAATTCCTTAGAAAGGCATCTATTTTCTTACTGTTAGAATAAAATGCTGACACAAGAAATTCATTACTATATCCAATTAATGTTTAAATTTTAAAAGCACCCTTTTCTGTTTATTCATATAGGTTTACATACATGCTACATCTACTCTAAAAATCCTATCTGTGAATGTTATATATAATTTAAAAACTGAAACTAATAATAGTATCTATTGAATCCATCCAAGACAAAGTCTTCAATGTCTAAGTTACATTACTTTTTTAAAAAACAATTATTTATTTTATGTATAGGAGTACACTGTTGCTGTCTTCAGACATACCAGGAAAGGGAGACACATCCCATTACAGATGGTTGTGAGCCACTATGTGGTTGCTGGGAATTGAACTCAGGACCTCTGAAAGAGCAGTCAGTGCTCTTAAACTACTGAGCCATCTCACCACCCTCCTAAGTTACATTAGTTAAATATAGAAAGGCTCCATAAATTTGTTATTAATAGTATCCTCACTGACAAGTAGCTAAGCAAAGGCTTCAACACACTTAAAATCTGCCCAAGGTCACAGAACCACCAGGTGATGTGTCTAGGATGGGCATACAGACAGTCTTACTGCAGAGCCCTTGCACCTGATTGCCACTTTCCTCTGCCTCCTGGTTGAGACGAATCTCCATTCTTACCTAGTTAGGTGAGCGACGCCTGTCCAGAGGACTTCTGAACTTTTGCTTTTGACATCAGGCTGAAGAGTGAGCTATGGCTGCAGTGACAGTTAGAAGCTAGAGAAGTGACAAACAGGAAGTTGGTGGAAATGAGGAAACCTTGGAAAATGACACGCCTAAGGCGGCTCCCTAGCGCACCAAATGCATGATGCACTTGTAGGTTGGGAAATAGTGGTAGATATGATGCCAAGGAATCAGTTTGGCTGACTCACTGATGTTTGCAGCTCCGGTCTGTCATTGTCGGGAAGAATCAGCAACATTTTCATACAAGTATTTCAAGTAGGGAAGCAGAATGTGTTCAGAATCCCACTGGACAAAAATAAGAGATAACAGCATCTCCTTTCTTAAACCTACAGCATCACAGTGAGAATCCATAGAAACAATGTATGAAAGTACTGGCATTGGCTGAGTAGTATGCAGGGAAGCGCCTGACTGTGAGTCAGTTGAGGTGCAATCTAATTCTTGACGTTAGAGCAGGGGGAGTGTGGTAGAGCAAATTCACCCACATGTCAGAGGACGTTGACCTAGAGTGAACTCTGGCAGCAATCAATTTGATTGTGGATCTAGAAACCCTTTAACTTCGTTCTTAAGGAAGGCAGATATGGATGCCTACAAAGCTGAGGACACTTTAGCTCTAAATTCCACACGCGTGACGCACAGGGGAGGTATATGTGCTGCATCCTTCTGTTCTTTTGGTACAGGCATTCCTGTTTGAATCCCAAAATCCTTTCAGAAATAAAACTATTATCTATATTTGTCCAAATCCTAGGATCCATTTCAGTTGAATAGGAAATTTCATGCCGATTACACAAATCTGAAATAAAAGGTGAGCCTCAGCTTGTTGGAACAAGAACTTACTCACTAGTCCGCATTCATTTAGGCTTTGATGAAAAATTCAAACCTGCTTTGTTCTGATTGACAGAATGATGGCAGAGATAGGTGCCCTTGTTTGAAATGGCTCATATCTTTGGACAATTAACCAATACTTTTGACAAATTTGTTTTGGGCTATTCGGAAAGTTCTAGAATGCACAATGTTGTTTTACTGTTGATTTGTTGTTATGCCTTCAAACAACAAAGCAACACTAATAACGACAACAACATTGACCTTCCCAGAACTTGCCAAAAAAATCCATAGAAGTTTGAACTAGTCTCCAAAATATTTTCCTCTTTGACTTATATTTTAGTAATCTGGGGAATTCTTCTTGTTGTTTTGCTTGTAGAGAAACAATATCATGCCAAATGAATTCAGATGATCTTTTTGGAAATAGCTTATCATTCTTCTTATATAATCTTACTATTTTAATAAGTATTTGATATATAATCAATTATATATTATATCCTTTTTAGTAGTGTTTATGATACTTTCTGTAAGTATTAATAGAATAATGAGTACTGTATAATACTAAATATAGTTAGATAATTCAATAATATTGATCTTGATTAAAATGAACTGAATTGAAACATCTTTCTTTCCTATGAAATATGAAATAATAGCTAGCCTCTGATTTTTAGAAGTTCAATTTTTTTTTGTTTTCTCTACAGCTAGATGATATGACAGCTATAAAGTAATGGTAAGTGAAAATGTAAATTAAGAGGCAATATTTAGGAAGAAATATATTTCTGATATCTTCATCAAAGAATCCTATCATAGCTCAGAAAATTGTTTAAGGAGTACTGACATACATTGATCAAAATTGGTGAAAACTTTATATATCTACATATGCCCCAAGATGATATTGGTTTGAGTGGAAATCTTGTTAGCCTAAAATTCATATTGCCTTACCTCTGACTCAAGGCTTTTTAGTTTTTTTTTTTAACATATTACTTTGTGTCAAAGGGTCATCATGGTATCTTTATAACTATAATTCAAAGTTAAAAGTCTTATGTCTCATTCACATAACACAATAAAAAGTAATGGAAATTTTGAAAATTTAAATATGAAACTCAATGTATTTGAGATAAATTTTCTCTAGAGTTAGAACTCATAAGGTCATATTCTATTTTGTGGAGTTGGATTTGGTTAATATGTCTAATTTATTTGTATCCTAAAAATCAGAAAGGGCTCAAGAGTAGCATAGATATGCATAAATGTGGATGTGTATGCACATAGATGCTTAATTAGCATACTTAGTGAAAAAATATTTTAAATTACATATTAGAATTTTATTTCTCCACCCGTCATATAAAGCAAAGTTGGTAATGCTCTTGATTTATAAAATAAAGAATTACCTTGAGCCAGCCTAACAAAATGACACTTTCAAAAGTGTTAGCAACAATAAATCTGTTTCTCCACCACTAAATTACATATATTTTCAAAAATAGTACAGCTATGATAGAGAGAAGAAAGAAGTTCAGAAAGACAAATTAATCATACATAATAAGAATGTTAAAGCTTTTTTGAAGAAGCTGTAGCATAATCTAGCTGAAAACATATCCATCGCCCTATAAATGATCCTTGGGAAAAACTCACATTTAAAGAGGAGTGAGGGCCAAAGGTGCTGGTGGCAGACCTTGGTAGCACTCATGACTTAGCGACTTAGCACAGGCTCAGGATGTGCTCATGGCAAAGGTCAAAGCTTTGTGAAAGGAAGAACTATCCTCCTCCACCTCCAAGTAGGTTCACCTGCCTACCTTGCTTAATGCATACAATTTATGTATGACATTCTCCACAGCTCATTTGCATTTGAATTCTTTTACTCAGTGTATTCCAATGGAGGTTCTGCCCACTGGACTCCAAGTACACAGAATACTTACTTAGCCAGTAATTTTGTTCACAGTCTCACCCCCTTTCTGTGATGAATGAAATAATGACATACGCAGAGAGATGACACGAGTTTCTTTGTTATATGTTATCTTTTATAAGTTCATATTTTATTCTGTAAAATTACTGAGACACCTTCTTGAACAGTCCTTAGTGTCCCCAGAAATAAGCATGTTTAGTGTCAGATTACCTATTTTATCCCTCCCCACCCAACAGTGCTATCAAAACTGTTGTGTAAGGGAATGAATGGATGAGCCAGAAAAGGAGGCTTATTGACTAAGAATGGATAATGCTTTATTGAGAAGTTCCTATGAGTCAGGCATCTTACTTTGATAGTCTACCAACTTGGCCACGATTGCTCCTGAATCTTTCTGCTTTTAAACATTTCAGTGAAAAATTGTTCTTAACACTATCACTATAGTATTTAACAGAGGAGGGAAATTTGTAGTCAAAACAAACCAATTGCGTTTTATGGTTTAACAAAGTAAACCTTATTTCAATACACAGCATTGATTATTACTACAGTGAAAGAGTTCAACTTGATAGCATTCATTTCTTTTATCCTTGTAACAAGTGACTACCAGGACATGGTCCATGGACCGACCGACCAACCAACCAACCAACCAACCAACCAACCAACCAACCAACCAGAAAAACCCCAAACAACAACAGCAACGATAACCCCTAACTCCTAAACCAAACCAAAGCAGTGGTGTGGATGTCAGGAAAGAGAATAACTTATTTATTGTTGGTCAGAGTGAAAACTGTCTTAGCAACTATGAAAATAAATTTGGAGATGCTTCATACATCTAGAAATAGATCTGCTGTATCCAGCTATACAATTCTTGGACATATTACTAAAGTTATCCATGTCTTACTTCAGAAATACTTGCTAATCTATGTTCATTTGTGCTCCATATCCAAGACGTAGAAGCTGCTTAGATGCCCACTGATGAGTACATAATGCAAATACAGTACTCATACACAAAGGACTATTATTCAGCTGCTCAGAAAACAATGAATTATGAAAATTTCAGATAATGGATGGATCTGGAAGCCATCAATCCTGAGTGAGACATGCCAGGCACAGGAAGATAAATGCTGTATACTTTCTCTTATAGGTAGATGCTAGCTCTGAAACTTTAGATCTGTATATTTAAATTTGAGCACCCATGGAGATCAGTAAACTGGCAGGGAGCAATGAGTGGGGGAATTTCAAAGGAGGATGATGATACACAAGTAATATGAAGGAAGAATGGAGAAATAAGAATGACTGGGGAGGATGAGAGGAAGAATGGCAGGGTACAAGAAGGAGCCTGGAGAATGGTAATTACCATAAAGGCCTTTGAGAAGTTCACATGGAAAACTAGCACTATAGACTCTCACTAAAGTATATACATATGTATAGTACATGTATATATGTGTACATCAATTCATATGTGTGCATAAATAATATACATAAGATAATTTAAATGAACTTACAAAATACTAGGGAAAGAGTGCTCTTTCCAGATACCATAGAGCATAATATAAGAAGCCCAGTTCTAGGAGTGGGTTATTTATTTTGGAGTTATTGGTCAGTGGAGTCCTGAAGACTTCCAAACATTAGACTATTGCTATTGTTTTTAGTTACTATCCATAACTTGATGATGAGACCCTACTACTAAATATAGAACACAGTTGAATCATGGAACATGGAGAAATCAAGTTAGTGTCAGTCTGGAAGCTGTGTCTCTATGGTGTAGCTTTTATGGTGCCAGAGGATGCTACATATATTAATAAAAGAGGAAATACAATAATGAGTCTTACATGAGCTACCTAACAACTCTACTGACAGAATGTGCCAGTTTGTGCAATAGTGGCACAAACATCATAGAGACAACCAACGAGTATCTGATTGATTTAAATCCTGTGTTACAAGATGAAACCCATATCACATACCATTATTAGGCCAAAACATGTGGCTGGATAAATCATAGGCCCTAGAAGAAAGCCTGTTATTAATACTCTGCTTTATGGACAAGATATTAAACTGACTCCTCATAATTTATGATTATACCTATTAATTAGTACATCTCTCAATCTTTAACCAAAAAGCTTCTTTTTGCAGTAGGTGGCAATACTTATAAAACAAAGAAACAGAATTTGAACAAATGACAAAATATTCATTGTGATTAAACTGGCTTCATGCCTGAGATCTAGGAAGCAAAGATGGTTCTGTGAATCAATATATTTCATATATGATATAAATATTTATTATTATTATTCATTGTTATTATAA